CGGATCAGATCGGATATTCAGATTTTTAAAATTATTATTTGTTCCGCTTTTGACGGATATTAAATTTTAGTATTTGCTTTGATTTGAATCACAACGGATATCCGCATTTTTCGGATCGAATCAAAACGGATACCGAATCGGATCGAATTTAACGGATAATTTGCCCAGCCGTAGTGTACAAACAAGAAGATTTAAATAGTGAAAAATTATGAAGTAGTTGTTAAAGGAAATATGTTTCCACTAAGTTGCACATCCATAAATTAGTTGAAAACTTTCTTTTAATTTTGTTCTCGTGCTTTCGCTTTTCTATAGAATAAACAAAGAGGTCCACGATTTGTTATCTCTTTGATTAGTGAAAATAAATGAAGACAACATTTTCCATTATTTGAGCCATCACGTGTTAAAATAGGAAAGTCACATCATTTCAAAATAGGAACTTTAAATGGTAGCTAGTTAACAATTTGTTTTTAATATTATCAAGTTAATCAATTCATAGAGTAGTGTCCTTTTGTGTGTGTTTTCTTATCTTTTATCTTTCAGAAATACAATATGTTTTTAGCTCAAATAGGCTGTGCTGCGATTGGAGTAGTAGCATTCTCCATCTTCGGACCGGGCTGGCTCGCCCGAAGCGTGGCTCTCGCCGCTTCCATCGCTTTTATGGTCATTGCTCGTGCCAATCACCCTCCTGGTAAATTCTATTTGTAGTTTTCTGATTTTGTTTTTTCAAATTTAATAGAGGCACACATATCAGTAATTAAACCAAAATGATACAAACCTAATACAGTAGCCAGTTATTATTATTAAACGATGTAATTTAAATTACAATCTGATATCTAGCCCATTTTAAAAAGATGTGAATCAAACCAAAGCCCATAAAGAAACCAAACACTGACAAAGGTAATAATAATCTGGCCCCACAATATCAGTGTTCTAAAAAGCGTTCTAGGTGTTCGCCTAGACGGTAGTCCTCTATAGACCGTGGCGATTACTGTTTTTACCGCT